CCTCATGAAGTTCAAATACATGTCAGCAGAGAGGATGACTAAAACAGCTGTAATATTTGGATCTTTATTGCCTCTGTATACTTTTAGTAATTTCCTCTCTTGCTAATCACTTCCATGGCAAAACTCTCCTAACCCAAATTTTCTTCTCAAAATACTGATTTATTCCTTAATGCTTCTTTTAAAAAAAAAAAAAATGAATGCTGAATAATGATAATGCCCATTCCCCTGTTCAAAGATCATTCCACTTTGAATATTTATGTGGTCTTTGCTTTACATCAGAGAACCATCTGTGACCGAATGGATACCGGAGCAGGAGAAAGACCAGCGGTGGCTGACGTTACGCTCCAGCTGGGAGAGCCTCGCTGCGACCACTTTGCATGAGCTGCTGGTAAACTGGTAAAGACCCTTTCATGAGAGCTGTGCAGAGTCGGATAACAGAGCAAGAGTGTATAATCAGAGCCTTTCTTCCATTTTTCCATTTTTTAACTTAGCATAATCCAATTTGCCATGTCAATAAAAAGCTTCCGTAGACTGGCCATTGGCCTTTACATTTCAACATGGGTTTTAATTCTAGACAAAGGTTTTTTTTCATATCTTATTTGAAACAAACTCTCATGTCTGCATTTCCTGCAGATGCCACGTGGGACGAGTTAACAGAGGAATTGAAGTAATGGTAACTAATAAAACTTGGAGAGTCTGAGAAAAGAATAGACACAAAATGAAGTTATAATCAACTAGCCTTGAAAGTGCACTTGAGTTTTTCCCTAAGAACATCATGGCGTCTTAAACAGGGTTGCCTCCCTTGTCTATGGGTGGGGTGTAGGGAAATGATAAATTGAGGGAATTAACAACTTATTAGGTTCTTATTACATTATGGGCACATAGCTAGGTAGTCTCACATACATTGATCATTTACTTCTCCCAGTAAACTTGTGAACTATGGATAATTATCCAATTTTTACAGCTGAGGAAACTAAGGTTTAGAATATTTAAATAACTTGCTCAAAGCTCACAGCCCACAGATGGCAAGTGATGGTGTTTGAACTCAAACTAAGTCTATCTTGCTCCAAAGCTTATAATAAGTGCTACCACCTTTTAAGAATTTTAAAGAAAAAAAACCAATAACGGACTATTTCCCCTTAAAATGTTTTGACATTTTCTTAATAGACCAAACTCTGCAACCAAATTGCTGAAGATTTGCCAACTGACATATTTCTTCCAAAATAATAATCTGAATCTTTCAACAGAGTGATTTTTTTCCCCAAGCCAGGAATTCTAGGAAAACCCTTTCAGGTCAAATAAATGAATAAATAACTCATTCTAAATTGAGAGTTGGCAGACTTAGTTCTAGTCTTGACTTACTAATTAGATGTATAATGTTATAAAACCACAGTTTCCAATAAGGAGTTGGGATGAATAGTCTTTTACTACTTTTCCTACTTCTAAAAGCTATAATTTTTCAACCTAATAAATAACAACTAAGTATTGAGTATTGCCTCTATGCCAGGCTCCGTGTTAGGCTCTGAGGGGCTGTAGACATGAATGAGGGAAGACAAAGGCCCTGGTTTCAAGGGACATACCTTGTGTGGGTGAACAGAGAGATTAAAAGTTAGTAAACAAAAGTAATTTTAGATATTGGGAAGTGCTACAAAGAAATTAAGAATAATGAGGTAGAGAATATGGAGGAGACAGTATTTTAGACTGTGGGAAGGTAGAAAGCAAATGATTTTTTTCCTGTATTATATAATTTATTGTATACAAATAATTATACATGTCCCTATGCAAATTTAGCAAGAAATTAAAATGCAATGAATCTTCAAAAAGGAATGTGGAAATGACATATTTAGGGTTCTTTTTTTTTTTTTTTAATCTGAGAGATCTAGGATTCTAAGCACATTGCAATATTTTTTAAAGTCCCAAGGTGTTTTTGTTTTTCATTTGCTTTGTAAATAAATGTTTCATGGTTGGAAGAGAGCTTAGTGATTAAAATTGAACCTACTCCAACTGAATTCTCTTGTGCAACCTCGTCGAGAGATCCTTAAACATGGCCCATGTTCTTGCCTTTAGAGTTTTAGAAAATTCTTTTCCTGAACCCACACTTCCTGTAAGTTTTACTTACTGATTTCGATCATGCCATCTAGAGTTACAGGACATAAATTTAAGTCCCCTTTTCCTCCTGTCAGCTTCTCATATTTCCACAGTTTAACCTTGCCAGTCTTGGTAAGATTCTTTTCCAGGCTAGATACTCCATTCGTTTATTTGTTCTTTACACTTTTGAACTTATATTTTATTCCTCAGACTATTTCTCTGTTTGTTTGGGGCACATACCCCTCCCCGTAAACATAAAAATCTGACATCCTCCCTCCTCACTATTGATGCTAAGAAGCAGCCTAATCCGCGCTCCTCGAGAACCAGAGTTTGAGTCAACATTGTGGGGGTCCCATAAGCCAAAACGATGTGGGAAACTTTATTACAATAGTTTCTTTTCCCATAAATATGAAATCACATTATGATGATATTAAATCAACTAAAAAAAATGAAAGTACATATCTTGCACATACCCCTGCCCTCAGTGTGATAGCTGACCACACCGCTTCCTTGAGAAGTCCTGCACCGAAGGTCATTGTTACTCAAGAATGGGACCTCTGGTAGCAGTTGAACCTATGTCTTGCTTTTCACTGGTAAAGTGTTTGAAGTGAACAGTAAATATGTAACTTAATATTCTACCGTTTTATGTTTCCAAATCTAGGCAGTCTTGTCAGAGCAGAAGTAAGATTTCTCTTCTGTGTAATAAACAAGGTGAGAGAATTCGAGGCATAGAGATGGGATATGAACTTCATTGAACCAGATTGGTTTAGGGGGAAAATGATCATTTGTACATGACAGCAAAGAGCCAAGCATTCAGCTGGGTTTGGTGTCAAATCACAAACCGTGTCTTCCGCTCCCCGGTAGACTGTGGGCGCCGCCCTGCTGCCCGAATGAACAAGAGGATCCTCGGGGGTCGAACGAGCCGTCCCGGACGGTGGCCGTGGCAGTGCTCCCTGCAGAGCGAACCCAGCGGACACATTTGTGGCTGCGTCCTCATCGCCAAGAGATGGGTTCTGACGGTTGCTCACTGCTTCGAGGGGTAAGTTGCACCTTTGCTTTTTTGCTTTGCCTGGATCTGATCATTTTGTCACTTGGGAATTCTCAGCGGCATATATAACTTCTTGAAGCCCCTTCAGGGCAAAAGCCACAGCTGAGCTATTTCCCAGGCCTTTGTCTTCCTAGAGTGTTCCACCCTTGGTGGTGTTGTCTTGTATGTGCTACTCATTTATGGGCGACAGATGCGTGTTGCTTATGGTTCATGTCCTGTGGAGGGAGGAGGAGGAAGTTTAGAAGATTGACTCTCCAACCAATGTTGGTGTCTTTTCTTGACCTCTTAAATACGTCACTTGCATATGAATTTAAGCAGAAGTGATTTATTTGGAGGCTACAGTGAGGTTAGGATGTAAGAGCAACTGGTGAATAGTTTGGGAAGCAGAGTTCAAGGTATAACACATGTATTATTCAAGATATGTATATCCAGAGAGAGAGAGATTTGTTTCAAGGAATTGGTTCATGTGATTGTGGAGACGTGGTGAGTCCAAAATCGGCGGGCAGGCCAGCAGGCTGGAGACTCAGGCTGGAGTTGCAGTGAGTCCAAGAGCAATCTGCTGGCAGAATTCCTTCTTGCTGTGGGGAGCTCAGTCTTTGTTCTCATAAGGTCTCCAGCTGAGTGGATGAGGCCCACCCGCATTATGGAGAGTAATCTGCTTTACTCAAAGTCTACTGATTTACACATTTTTGTCCAAAAATACCTTCACAGACACATTATCTAGAATAATGTTTGACAAAATATTTGGGCACTGTAGGCCTGTCAGATTGATACATAAAATTGTCCATCACAATTTTGTGCATAAAGAGAGAAGACTAAGACTAAGGGGAAAGCTTCCCCAAACTGACAAACATCCATGCAGAAGGTCCCCATCTCTTCTGGCTATCTATTGCCGTGTGATGTAGGAGCAAACAAAACAAAAAACAAACAAAACAATGAAAAAACACAGTCATTTATTTTGCTCACTGAAGATTCTGGGTATCAACTATTCAGACAGGACATAGCTGACCTGGTTTATCTCCCTCTGCGATGTCTGGCCCTCAGCTGGACGATTCTAAGTCTAGCGGCAGGAAGCATCTGAAGTCGGGCAGGCGATGCTGCCTGTTGGTGGGGACCTTAGTTCCTGTCCACGTGGGACCCACGTGGGACACGTGGTGGCTGGCATCCTCCAGAGTGAGCTTCCCAAAAAAGGAGCCAGGAAGCTGTAGCACCTTTTTTGACCCCATCTGCAAAGCCACATAACATCCCTTCTGCTGTGTGGTTGGTCAGAGCCACCGTCAGCCACAAGTCCTCCCTAATTCAAAGGGAAAAAACACAGCCCTGCCCTCTCAGCAGGAGGGATGTCAAAGGACTTGAGGATAGGTTGTAAAAGCCACTACGCCACCCATTTTATTCTATTTTTTAAAACATAATTTTACTTTATTTAAAAATAATGCTAAATAACAGCAAAAATATAACATAAAAATAGTCCACAGTTCTATTATTTAAGTAAATTGATTCTTCTCTTTCGATCAGGTTAATTTCTAGAAAAAAAAATGCAATTTCGTTTTTTGCCTATTTGCCTATTATTGTTTTTTCTTTGCTTTGCCATTTATTATGTGACCCTGGGCCAATTAACTTCTTGGGCTGCAGTTTCTTCTGTGCAATGAGGGAGACAACAGCCCCTACCTCACAGTGTTGGTGTGGGCATGAAGCGAGGTGTCTATGTAAAGCCTTCAGAACCAGGCCTGGCGTTAACCAGTGAGACCCCAATAAAATTATTCTTAACAGCACGCATTTTGCATTTTTTCATAGCATCATGGCATGAGTATTTTTACATTTTACTCACACTTTTTATCTCCTCCCATACTTCCTCTCGTTTATTCCCTCATCATCCTCAAGGTAACCAGCCCGGTGAATGTTCTTCCACAGCTAGGAACACATAACATTTTTCACAGGGTGTCATTGTTTATTTTTTTCCAATTTGGAATAACACTCTATACTTTTGTAAGTTGCTTTTCTCATATGGCAGTATATCATGGGCCTCTCTTCAGGTCAATTGACGTAGGTCTAGCTCATTCTCTTTGGAATCTAAATGATATAATATACAGTCACCATAACTTTTATCATTATTCCTCAGTTGATGGACATCTGGGTTAGTTCTAGTTTGCTCCAATAAACCTTCTTATACAAAGCTACTCACCCACTGGTACCCTTGTTTCTAGAGGATAGAGTCCCAGCACACACTTAGATCCATGTGGGGGTTGCAGAGATTGCTACATGTTTTGTTCCCCGAGGTGCTAACCTAGTGAGTAGATGGACAATTAAATGAGTAATTAGAATACAATGTGATAAGTGACTATAAAAGGGAAATGTGTATATCTAGTTATTCGATTTTGCTCTTTTGGGGAAAATCACATATAAAAATCAAACCAGTATCTCCTCTTGGGAACTTTTAATGTATAAGATCCGGAATGATTGGAAGAGTCTGCATAGTTTGTCAAGAAATACCCTGCTCTGTTATTGCTTTGGAAGGGGCCAGATGTTTCCAGATGTCTTTTCTAGTTCTGATTTGTAACTCCATGATAAGTAGAAGATTACACCAGTAAGAGCACATTCATCAAAGACGATTACCTAAATGATTCCAACAGTTCTTTAAGGGAACAACACTCTTTATGTGCTAGTCGGTCCAGATTCATTTGCTACTTCTGCTGTTTCCTATGTGGTATCCAAGTTTCCTCTTTCACTGAAAGATCTGAAAGTTAAGGAGAAATCTTGCAATAGAGAAGAAATATGTGTTTATAATTAAAGACATGTATATGATACCAAAGGCCTTGGTGAAATTTCAGGGAACACTTAATTGAACAGAATAGTCAAGAGGGGGGCATGGTCTGTCCATGAGAAGTTAGAAATTGTCCCACTTCAAACAAGCCTTTGCATGAATGTGTGCTAATAACCCTGATTTTATTTTACAACATCTCTAGTGGCCCTGCAATCTTTTGAGAACTTTTAATTGGAAGCCGTTCTCTCTGCTGGAACCATCAATTGCTGCAATTAATGGGGTTTACTTCATATCCTGCTCCAGTACTTTGGCAAGGACTGGCGTGACCCATCTGAAGGTCCGCTCAGCCTGTCTCTCTTAATTACATTCATGGAAAAAAAAAAAAAAAAAGAAATTTTGTTCTGTTCTTCCATGGAGAGGTAGTTAAAAATCCCAAATGAAAATTAAAAACATGAGATACTAAGTTGACCAGATCAAGTCCCCTATGTCCTAATAACAACTCAACTGCCAAAGTTCTAAGGAAGAAAGTACTTTGCCTTTCAGGGGAAATTTTCCTGCCTTCCTCCACCTCCGAAAGACTTATGCATGAACTTCTTAGGCTGTCATACAGCTAGTAATGGGTGGGGGCAGCTAATTCCTCTCCAGGAACCCTGCATGAAAATCTGTCTTCCCACTACGTGAACCACAACCCTCAACCCTGCCATATCGCTCCTGCCCTGATTCCCGCCACACCAGCTCTTCAGGCCAACAAGAATTTTGGTTGTTTGTCTGCACTTCCTTCCCCTCCACCCCACCCTGTATTTCAGTTCATCTGTCTCCTTCTCACCTCCTTTCTTTCCCCAGCTTACTGCTTCCCTGGGCTCCTCGCTTTTCAATCCTTTCACCAGGACCTTCCACTTCTTCTTCCCTACATCTTTCTGCCAGACGTGCCTGGCAGACCTCCAAAGTGAGTACCACATTGTCTAGCCCTATAACCGTGCTCTTCAGAGGCGGGGGAGAACATCGGTGCAGACTGGTGCCATGCCTGACTTTCACCAGCAGCTGGATCTTTAATATTCGTCAGTAATCTTTCTGCCTATTTCTAGAGAGCTCCCTCTCTCATTCTCCACAGAACAAACTCATCGTCCTCACTTGCCCACCTGCCCTGATAGGACATTCTTTAATACACTCAGAAAAGAGGTGTGAGAAGGTTGGTCTGACTTTTTATCACTGAGCCCATGTCGTGTCCTTGTGATGACCTCTTTGTCTTCTAGGAGCTTAGGAACTGTGCTCATCATTCACAATTTGTTTTTCCATTTTATCTACTTGAGGGAGTTGGTTTATTCCCATCAGTAATAATGTCCACTGACACAGAAATTTTCCATTTTGGACCCATACCTCCCCTGGGGTGCCGTTTTCCAGCATCACTGCAGGGTGAACAAGTGTGGCTTTAGAAATTCCTAGGTGACTCTGGCCTGACCCATACTCCACACTGCCCTGTCCCCTAGGGAGGTACTGTTTGTCACCCTCCCCTCTCCAGGGGAAAATGTCTGGGTCCAGGATGTAATGAGCAGTTGGCCTAAACGATGTGCCAATCCAGAAACTAGAAGCTTCCCTCTCGCCTTTAACTTTAATAGTTACTTGTTTCTTTAAGTTTTTCTACTCTCTATTCTTGTGTGTTGAACCTGCATCTGAACTTCTGACCATTGTTGGAGAAAATCATGCACCCCGCTGCTAACTGAGCTCACATCAAATGTGTGATTGTGAATCTCAAGTGAGCATCTAACACAATGGGACACTTCCAAACAGTCTCTGTTTTACCCTCAGAGACAACTGTTTTGACAGCTTTTCCTCTCTATCCACACCTCTGTCACCCTCCACTGATCTCACCTCATGAGTCACGGATGAAAGAGATGCTGTCATATCTTTCACCTTGTGCGACCCCCAATTCCAACGAATATCTGCATCTTTGGACACGTATCCTACTTTCCCTTGAGTCGTAGTGGAAGATGTGTCTCTGCTCCTATTTAAGGACAAGCATATCCCCTTTCATCTTTTCAAAGACTTTACTCCTAAAATCATTTCTACTTTGCATCATCAATTTTTCCTTCTTTCCTGGGTCATTCCTTTTGGAAACCATGCCTTAATATCATTAACTTAAACCCTCTTCTCTTGACTTCATATCCCTCTCCCACTGTGGCTCCATTTTGGCTAGTCTACACAATGAAACTCCTAAAAGAGTTTCCTGCAG